GGGGGAGAAATGTGGGGGCGGGGACCGGCGGTGTACTGACAAAGGCACTGACAAGTGCGATAGAGGCTGATGGAGGGCGGCGGAGGAGTGGGCAGTGGGGCGAAGACAGGCTTTAACTGTCGGACGGCCGTTGAGAGAGAGAAAAAAAAACCTGAAAAATGTTTTTCTTTTTTTATTTGAGACTTAAAAGAAAAGAATAATAATTCAAAGGAACCAGATATCCCTAGTGGCGCCTCCTGTGGCAGCCTGTAGTAACTGCAAAGACTCAAACTGTTATTATTTATTATTATTATTAATACATTTTTATTTTTTTAATATATTTACCTTTATCTGTGATGTAAAAAATAATTCTATGATATGAAAAAAAAATTCTGTTTCTTCACAAGACTAAATTACGAATTTATAAAATCATCAACATTTTATTTATAATTGATCAAAGTCAGTATTTTATTTATTTTTTATTTTTTTGGTCTTCTCCGCCCGGGCCCTCTGGCCTCATGACACTTCAGTTCTCGGTCCAAAGGTGGCGCTTCAGCCACTCCCCGTGCTCCCCGTCCAATCATAACCAGTCCAGATGAGTTTCCACCACGGAAACATCCAGGGACAGAGGCTGAGATGTGGACTCCAGCTATCCATACGAGTTTCCGATTAGAGCGCCTCACCGGAGCTTTAGAGTCCGCCGTGGTTCAGGCAATGGAGAGTGGAGAGGGATGGACGGGGCGGAACGGGGGCTGAGGGTAGGGGAGTGATGGGCGATGGAAGTGGGAGAGGAGTTAGAGGGAAGGTTGTCTGTAGGTGTGTCATCCTGAAGCGGTGGTTTACTGTGTTTGAGGTTATTCCTTTTCACTGATGTTGAAAAAATTCACTAAGGTCGCATCTAGTGATTCCAAATGTAGATTTTTTTTGGAAAATAAAAAAGAGAAACAAAATGTCCAACAAACATTGTAAAGTAAGTAAAGTCGTAAACAACGTCTCCATAAAGTTGTTTTCGACTCCGTCGTGTTTTTGTTTTTGTTTTTGTTTTTCCTTGTTGTTGTTGATGCCGTCGTCGTTTCTTTAAAAATAAAACTTCTCTGGGTTCAAACCTCGTCCCGTCGACACGCGCTCTCCGTGTGTTTTTTTTTTCTTCTCGTACGAAAACCTGCAAGAAAAACCCTGACGCCGCGTTTCAAGGTTGGACAAATGTCAGGGTGGAACAGGTCTGCTTTCAACTGACACTCTGCTGTCACCTTTGACCTTTCCGTGGGCTAACTGCCCTCGGGGGCTCACACACACACACACACTCACACAGTGTGTGTGTGTGATAATGTGACTATGAAAAATGAATCAGTGAAGTTGGTCCAGAGACTTATTTTAGCTCAGATTAATTTACCGGGAAGTTGATTTGACGTCTGTCTGCTGACTGGACATCAGCTCGTTGGCCTGAGGTTAGAGAGGAGGA